ATAATAATAATAATAATAATAATAATAATAATAATAATAATAATAATAATAATAATAATAATAATGTAAAAAGCCTACCAAAATGGCCCAGCCAGCCCGGGCAAAGTGGAAGAGAGAGTAACATTATAGGCTACACAACAATAGAGTGAGTCATCCATCCATCCATCCATCCATCCGTTCGTTCGTCCATCCACAGGATATTACCAAATTACGTCATCTGTTTGACTGACTGCTACACTGCATTATTATTATTATTATTTCTTCTTATTGTCCTTCTTTGCGGTGCATAAAGTCTCTTTTTTTATTCTTTTTTTTTTTTTTTTTTCCTTTTCGATGGATTTGAGAAGGAAAAGGAGGAGGGCAGATCTTGTTCAAGCCGAGGACAGAGCCGTGAGGACCCTCTGCGTGCCGTCTTGGGGACTCCTGGCGCTGGAAGGCAGAGCGGACCTGCAGAGAGAAGAAGAGGGGCAGATGAACTCCCCCGCCGTGTTTGGACAGCAGCTTTCAATATGCAGCTCAAGGGTCGCGCTGAAAGGGCTCCATTAGAAACAGCGCGCTGCTAACATTTTTTTTTTTTTTTTTGCACAAACAATCGTTTTCATTAATAATAAAAGACGAAAATATTTTAGCGTGAACAAAAACCTATTTAGCTGCAAATATTTTTTTTTTTTTTTTTTTGCACACACTCACAAAAAGAGACAATAAAATAAAAAGAACAAACTGTTTTCCTATTTTTCCCTCCAGAGCTCTCCCCTGGGCTCGGGCCCTCCCGGGGGTCTTTAGGGAAGCCCAGAGCCCAGACAGAGCCCGTTTTACTCCCTGCCTTGATAAGTAGCCACTCTCTCCCCAGAGGGGAGGAATTAAAGGGGGAGTGGGAGGAAAGTCAAGACCCCTGTCACCCGTTAAGCAAACTGTATTTTATTTTTAATCTGTGCTTTTTTTAAAACTACAAATCTGAGACACAAACACATGTATATAACCTGAACTTAATGTAACAACCTTCATTATTAACCTTAATAAACATTTACATTATGTTGGGCATTTTTACAGGAAGCAACCACAGCTATTTTAAAATACATGTTTTAATGAATTTTTAGCCAATAATCTGACTTTTTTAAATTATTGAACACAATTTTTACAACAAATTTTTTTTTTTTTTTTATCAAAAAGACACACAAAAAAAACAAACAAACACTTTCCAGCTTGTCTCACCTGTCATGAATGGGACGAAAAGAAGACTTGAGGGTGTGTGTCGGAGGGGAGTCAGCTCTCACTCCGTCCTCGTGCTCTGAAGAGGAAACCGAGACAAACACATAAATACCAGCAATGAGGAGAAATGTTCACCTTTTATTATTGTATTTGTTTATTTTCAGCACGTTTTCGTATGTCAGATTAGCTCTGGCTGCTTTTATCCCAGTTCTCTGGAAACTGTGCAGCCTCCAGTGCGCATGCGTGCTTCCATAATGTTAAAATGATGAAGGTGTGGGGGAATAAGCAAACACCAGTTGCTGCCTTGAGACAAAACACGTTTATAGTCACGCTCTTTCGTGTGATATTAGTGCGTGTGTGCCCCCCGCTCCCCTCCTACCTATGTGTTTGGGACTGGGGGTCTCTGCTGGGGTCTTGCTGTCGCTGCTGCTCGCTGCTCCCGGAGACACGACCACGGCTGCCGGCTGCTGCTGGGAGGACAAGTGATGATGATGATGGTGGTGGTGATTTACTCCCAGAAAGGACCTGACGTTCAGCAGGGAGTTCTGGCCCAGGAAAGCCCCATTAGTCCAGTTGGGGAACTTTCCAATCTGGCACGTGTACAGTCCGTGACTGGAGAGGAAGGCCGGGTGGGTCTGGATCTGGTGGTGGGGTGCTGACGGGTGAGTGGTGGCCCCCGGGCCGCACGGGGACGTGGGTTTCTGGGCTGAGCTGTCTGGACTCGTGGCAGTCTCTGCTAAAGACCATATTTTGGGTTTATTGCTGGAGGGGAGGGGGAAGCCCCCCGGCCTGTCCGGGGATAAAACCCGCGTGTTGCTGTTCCCGTCCGAGTTCTCCTTCCCGCCCGCGTGAGCTGAAATTGCGCTCTTAGATTTCTCAAAGGCCTCGTGGGCCTGCAAAGCAAAGGCCCGTCGTTTCTCCAAGCTGTCCAACTCCCCGGGCACCCCCACGCCCCCCCTGAGGTCCCTGCTCCCCTCCGTGGACTTGTCGTCGTCGTCCTCGTTGCTCTGATCCCCGTCGTTGTCGTCTATCTTGTCGATGTCGATGCTCTCCAAGTCGATCTCCTCCTCGTCTTCGTTCTTCTCCGCCTCGTCCCCGCTGCCGAACAGGGGGCCGTCCTCCCCGTCCTCCTTGCTCCTGCTCCCCCACGTCACCTTGTTCTCCTTCTTGAGCCTCCTCCTGGCGTTGGCGAACCAGGTGGAGACCTGCGTCAGGGTCATCTTGGTGATGATGGCCAGCATGATCTTCTCCCCCTTGGTGGGGTACGGGTTCTTGCGGTGCTCGTTGAGCCAGGCCTTCAGGGTGCTGGTGCTCTCCCGGGTGGCGTTCTTGGGCCTGGCGGGGTCTCCGTACTGGAACTGGCCATACGGGTAGAAGGCGGGTGACGTGTGGGCCGCAAAGGTGGCAGGATGGACTCCTGGACTGTCCTTCAGCTCATACTGGGACCCCTTCAAATCAAGGATGGACAGTCATGTCACTGGTGTCAAATACTCAAACATTAACAGTAAAACTGCTGCACCGGACGCAGAACTTTCCACAAATAAACTTGTCAGCTTGCAGCTGGAGGCCCTGCTCCTGCACCAACTCCTCCAAACAGTTTGACTTTAAGTTTTATTATATATATTTTTCAACTAAATAACTCATATGACGTCTGAGGTGAACGAGCCGAGGGAAAGTTTATGGTGATAATTGACAGCTTTTATTGCGCAACAATAAACGTTTCCTCGTGCACAGAGTGGTTTAAAGGCCGGAGTCAAGCTTTTTATCAAGTTTATTGCTTTTTAATGAACCTTGAAAGGTGTCCGTCAATTCTGGCCCATGTGTGTGTTGTTGCAGCAGTCAGGCCTAAAACAACTCAGCCAACACATGCATTACTGCTTTTTCTCCCTCGTGCTGTTGTAGCTTTACACAGTGAAGGTCTGATGGGACTTCTTGTCTGCACAAGTCTTTAAGCCTTCACTTTAAATACAGCTTCTTTTTTTTTTTTTTTTTTTTTTTAAAGTTGCACATTTTGGAGCAACATTTTCTGCTGCAACCTACAGCTCTTGTGTTTGTCCTTCTCTCAGGGAAGTACACCACCTATCGATTGATTGTGTTTGACAAAAAACGCCACCTTTTTATTCTTGTCCCTGCTCGTTTAATAAATAATTAATTCCCTTTCTGCTCGAACTTTGTAGCTGCACGAGCAACTAAATCCACAACTGAGTCGCATATGCTCTTTATGGGGAACGGATTTTTCTCCCTCTTTCTTTAGTCTTTAGGTGAAGGAAACATGAATTCTTACCATTTGTGAGAAGAGAGCCAGGTCCGCGCTGGTGTAGGGTAAGAACGCGCTGTAGTTGTGCGCGTACGGGTTGGCGTACATGCCCAGCACGGAGGTGACGGCCGCCGCGGTGGCGGATGGACTCCCTCCGAGCTCCGTGCTCCCTCCCCGGGACGAAGGCGCGAGCACGCCCGGCCGCTCGCTCCCGTACACCGCCTGGGAAGCGCTGAGGTACTGCGGGTAGCCTAACTGCGGGAAGGACATCTCCGCCGCTGGATTGTCGCACAGCTCCGACAAGACGCACCAAAAACAAACAACAACCACAAAAAAAAAATCTGTGCGTAAAAAAACAAACAAAAAAAAACCAAAACAGTGCGCTGAGAAGACAAGAAAAACAAAAAGAGGAACGAACCAGGAGAAGTTAAAAAAAAAAAACAGAAAAGAAAAAAAAGAAAAGTGTTTGATGAGCTGGAGTGAGGGGGAGCAGCGCTGGTAAATCTCGGCTTCCTCTCTCTGCTTTGTCTTTGCGCAAAGTCCGCTGGATGCGATCTGATGAAGAATTGCGCTCCGACTGACGCGCCTGGCCCCCAGGTCTTCCAGCCTGATCTCTCACATACAATTTGAAGTTGATGCTTTGATTGGCATCCCTTACTTCAGCCCGCAAGCTCCTCCTCGTTCGGAGCAATGTGGATAATGTGAATATAGAGTGTGCACATTGGCTGGGGCCTCCCTCTCCCTCTTCCACCCCCCCCCCCCCCCCCCTCTCTCTCTCTCCCTCTGCGCGTCTCTCTCTTCATGTTTGGACTTATTGTATGTTAAATGTTCATTCACCGAAGGCTTTGATTGTTGTATGACAGTCTGTGTACATGATTTTACAGCTGTCCGACACACGAGGAAGTAAACGTGCCACGGGACGGAACTTTCCTTCAACATGTTTAAATTCTAATTATTAATATTAATATTAATAATAATACTAATAATAATAATAATAACACATTTAAAATACCTTCTACAGAAGATTTGGTTCTTGAGTTGCAGGTGATTTTATTTAATCATGGGAATCAGTTTTGTTCGCACAAATAAATAATTGATTATTTAAAAAGTAGTCAACTTTTTTTTTTTTTTTTTTTTTTTTTACCAGCTCTCGTGCAAAAGATTTTCAAGCGAATAGTTAAACTACCAAAAACGACAACAACTACAGCTTCAACGCACACACACACGCACACACACACGCACACACACACACACGCACACACACACACCTTATAGTGATTTTGTTTTGGTAAACCCGTCCAGTTTATCATTTTCATTCATCAGTAAATGTCTTTTTTTTTTATTCACTTTCTTCTTTAATCTGTTCATACAGGTTTAATCAGACCCCCCCCCCCCCCACACACACACACACACACCACCTCCCCCTCCTTTACTCCCCCACTTTCCCCTTCCTTTTCACCCTTTCCAAATGCGCGCTTCTTTCTCTGCATGTGTGTGCGCGCGCGTGCGTGCGGACTCAGAGCAGATTGTTGTCCTTTGTAACTCCAGAGCCGCTTCACGTTTTCTGGCTTTGTGTGTGAAAAGAATGTGGAGCAGCCGGACACAGGCCCAGCAGCGCTGCGCTGATTTCCGCACGTCCCTAAACGCACCACCCCACCCACCCTCCAGCTAAATTTAAAGTTGTTTTCTCTGGCTCATTTAAAATAACTAATCAATAGCTAAATAATAAGGATACTTGAACAATTTAATGTTTAATTTGTCACAATTTTAAACGCATTTTAATGTTGCCATTTATTTGGACACTTTAAACTGAAGTCAGGAGAAAACATACAGCTTTGGTCAGCTCCTCTTGAACTCCTTATCCAATTTCAATCTCTCTCTCTCTCTCTAAAAATATATATAAATATAAAAAAAAATAAAACTGGGTTGGAGCAGCCACCTCTTTGCCTCTACAGATGTCCACTCCTGTCACCAAACTGCGCGCGCGGCGGAGAGGCAGGAATGGTCACATTTGAGAACTGTTCTATTTTGATTTGATTCGAGTCTCCAATCGCCCACCTCCCGAGTCAAAAGGAGGAGGAGGGGGGTGCCTGTAGATCTAGATTTAATGCCTTAACGACTGAAGCCCGAGAAGTCAGTCAGTATATAGATAGATTCTGATCTGCACCAGATGGCTCCGAGTGGATATTGCCGCGCGCCGAAGATCTGTTCAAAATATCTGAGGGGCACTGATGGTAATCTGGGTAACACATCAGAGAGGAGGGGAGGAATGGCAATTGTGATAACCCGCTGGAAATGTGTGCAAGGGGTGGGGGGTGAAGCGCGTGAGGGTGGGGGGTGG